TTTCACTAAGGTATCAGTTTTTTGGTTCCCATTCTGGAGGTTCATTCTATCTGTTACCTTATCAAAACTTTGTGGTAACATCTGAACGTCAAATTCAACAGCCTGTACCCTTTCAGGTAACTTCCTAGTACCCTTGGACATGGAGTCAATTTTGTCTATCATAGTATCCACTTGTTCAGATAACCCCTGATTTTCAATAATTTTAATCCTTTCAACTAGTTGTTCAATATTAGTCCGTAAAAATCGTATCTTTCTTAATGATAAAATATTGAAAAGAAAACTGAAACCTAGCAACAAGTAAATTAATATATTCCCATAGTCATATAAACCTTGCATGACATAATCCATTGTATTAATAAAGAAAACAGTAAAATTGGCGTTGGAAACAAAAACTGCCATATTACCTCTTGTCTAGTTGGCGGCGCTGTTGCCAAGTTGCGACTAGAACCACTGCAAAGGTGACTTAAACAGGTCCTGTTTCAGTGTCTGCCTTAGTATTTGTTAAAAACTAGGAAATATAAGTTGCTCAAGAAAGAAAGTTTAATTAAATCAATTCCATACACGGAACCAGAAACCCAGAATCCAGGGGTAGAAAAGAGCAACCCGGAAGCCGCGTATGCCTCCACGTGACCGAGTCGTTCTGATTCACGCCACTAAAGCACCGCACTTACAAGGGAAATTTAAAAACAACTCAGAAAAGAGCAAACCAGGCAGGCAGAGACTGTCCCGAGCCTGTGGAGCTTGGGAGGCGTGGGGTTTAACTGAACTGCTGGCTCCACACACAGGGCACAGGCCGCAGCTGAGGGAGGTCTCGTGACTAGCCGAGCTGGTAGCAAGCAGTTGAGTGGGGGGGAAGGGGGGGTTCTACAACCAAACGTGGGGCGCCAGATGAAGGAGTAAGTCACAGACAATCCCACACCAGTTTGGAATTATGAATAATAGAATGGTTATTTATTCAAAGGGGAAAAAACTTACAGATTACCGTCCCAGACAACAGCCCCTCCGCGCGAACAGGAAAGGAGTCCAGGGGCCGGAAACGGAGCCGGAAGACAAAAGGAGAGTGGAGGACAGCCGCTGCTTTTTTTAAAGGGAGAGACCACGCCCCAATGGGCTGGTAACTCAGCGGCGATTGGCTGAAGGAGCTGAAGGAACTCCCACAGCAATGTACCCTAAAAACAATAGAGATTGGTAATTGGGAGACAGCAGTCAATATTTTCTCCTTGGCAAAAATGGCCTTTGGGCAAGGAACTGGCCATACCTCAACCACTGACAAAGTACATGGTATCTGGAATGAATAAGTGGAACACAAGAAAAAAAGACTTCCAAATCTTGCCAAGATAGGGTAAGATGGTTTAAAAAAAATTTTACACCTTAAAATGGTCTGTCAGCTATGTTAGGACTTAGCCAAAGTTGGTTGCTTCAACATTACAAATGAGACTTTGGGTGATTGCTCAGAAAGTCAATTGTCTCCATCATATACTGCTTGCTTTGGAAGCTGCTAGATTGCACTTCTTGCCTGTTCAGGAATATTATTACCTTCTCAGGCCTTAGATGGGGCTGAAGAATAGATAGCTGTAGTTACCTTCCTCAAAAGTTAGCCAAACTTATTTCTGATGCAAGATTTAGACCTTTTGAGATAGAATGTTTATTAAAACATTTGTCATGTGTTCCTTGCTAAATATTGCTTATGTTGTTTGTAATTTTATACTTGGTGTCTGTTATTATTGTATAAAGTTGTATTGGGTTTGAATCAATCTGGTTTAGACAAAAAGGTAAGGTGATGGGGTAAGCTTTATTAACCAATCATCTTTAAGAAGTGGAACTTAGTTAAGCTGTGGCTTCTTGGACCCCAGGTGCTTGCTCTCTGGGTGACTCCCATGGGACACAGGGGAACTTGGAATTTCCATTCTTGTTGCATGTTTCCCATTATGATGAGTAAAAATATAATTGTTTATCTTTAAGTTAGCCTGGTTATTTCCCCAATCAAGTATTTCTACAGATAAGCATAATTATATAATTGAAGAAAAGTGCAAAATAATTATTGCACAGGGGAACTTGGAATTTCCATTCTTGTTGCATGTTTCCCATTATGATGAGTAAAAATATAATTGTTTATCTTTAAGTTAGCCTGGTTATTTCCCCAATCAAGTATTTCTACAGATAGGCATAATTATATAATTGAAGAAAAGTGCAAAATAATTATTGTTGAATTCACAGGAATTCTGTCCATATAATTTTGCAGGTGCAAACAAAATAGAGACTTCATAATGCTTGAACAGATTTGACACTTGTAGACTTCTTTTCTTCCCATGCTTATGTAAGTAAATGTGTGTTGTCTGAAGATATTTCCAAAACATTTATAGTCACATTACCTTCAGTATGAATCTTCTCAAGTCCTCAGATTACTGTATTATGCAAAGGCCTTAATAGACCTCTTATCCAGTATAAGTTTACTCTTGTATAAAGACTACCAAGAAGAGGAAAACTTTACCATGCTGATTTGACCTAAAAGGCTTGACAGGCTGGACTGTGGTGGTACACCCCTTAAATCCAGCACTAGGGAGATGGAGACAGACAAATATCTGTGAGTTAAAGGCCAGCCTCATTTATGAGTGAGTTCCAGAACAGACTCCAACGCTACAGAGAAACCCTGTATCAAAAAACCAAAAGAGAAAAAAAAAGTTTCTTGGCAGTATGATTTTTTTTCTCAAGATTTTAAAGCCTGATGACACATACAAAGGCTCTGCTACACTGAATAAACATGTAGGGTTTCTATTCAGCATGTGTTCTTTGATGGTATTGTAAACTTCTACGACATGCAAAGGCTCTACTACATTGATTACACTCATAAGGTTTCTCTCCAGTATGTTTTGCTTTATGTGTTTGGAGACTACTGACATATGAAAAGGCTTTACCACATTGATTACATTCATAGGGTTTCTCTCCTGTATGGATTCTTTTATGTGTTTTTAGGCTACTGAGTTGGGAAAAGGCTTTATCACATTGATTACATTCATAGGGCTTCTCTCCAGTATGTGTTCTTTTGTGAAGTTGGAGACTACTGGTATATGAAAAGGCTTTACCACATTGATTACATTCATAGGGTTTCTCTCCAGTGTGTGTTCTTTTGTGTATTTGGAGTTTAGAGTGCTCTAAGAAAGCTTTATCACATTGATTACATTCAAAGGGCTTCTCTCCAGTATGTTTTCTTTTATGTCTATGAAGCTCACCATGACTTGCAAAAGCTTTATCACATTGATTACATTGATAAGGTTTTTCTCCAGTATGTGTCCTTTGATGTACTCGAAGATTACTGTTCTGTGAAAAGGCTTTACCACATTGATTACATGTGTAGGGTTTTTCTCCAGTATGTGTCCTTTGATGTACTCGAAGACTACTGAGTTGTAAAAAGACTCTACCACATTGATTACACATGTTTTTCTCTCCAGTATGTGTTTTTTTATGGATTTGGAGACTACATTGACGTGCAAAGACTTTGCCACATTCATTACATTCATAGGGTTTCTCTCCAGTATGTGTTCTTTCATGCATTCGGAGATGATATCGACGTGCAAAGACTTTGCCACATTCATTACATTCATAGGGTTTCTCTTTAGTGTGTGTTCTTTCATGTATTTGGAGTTTAGAGTGTCTTGAAAGAGCTTTATTACATTGATTACATTCATAGGGTTTTTCTCCAGTATGTGTTCTCCTAAGTATTTGGAGACAACTGGTACCTGCAAAGGCTTCATCAAATTCAATAACATAATATGACTTCTCCGTAGAATGAATTTTTTCATGGCTTCGATGATGACTGTAACATGTAAAGGCTTTATCACATTGAGTATATTCAGAAGGTTTCTCTCCTTTACGGTTTCTTTCATATCTGCAAAGATATTTAAGACATGTAAAAGTTTAACCACATACATTACACTGATCCATTTTAATATCTGTATGAATCAATTTTATAATTTTGTTTGATTGTAATGAGAAATCAGATTTTATGTTTTACATTCATGGTGCTCTTCTTCAGTATAAGATGTTTTGTGTTTTTGAAGAATTTTTGATGATAAGTGTCTTTTTATAAATGACCCACATTAATAGTATCATTTTATATAAGATTGTTTTTTACATATTTGAATGGAACGAGACTAACTCTGTTTTATATAACCTTACATACCATTAGCATTCTTATGGTTTCCTGTAGTGCAATACCTACAACAAGAAAGTGTAGTAGGATAAAACAAGAGTAAGCTCACAGTCCAACACTCATAGGGCTTCTCTTCAGTGTGAGTTTGCTGATGTCTACCCAAGGAAGTTTGAAAAAACCAATTAAATATAATATTATAGCACATTCACCAAATCTACCCAGTGTTGAAATACTAAATATCGTTCCTATCTTCTCATTATTCTGAAAGAGATACAGTTTCCATTTTGGTAGTTGACTTGTGACATATGACATTCTTATTAAAGGAAGAAGAAATAAATGGTTGTCAATTGAATTCACACAGTTTGACTTTCTGTTCCTCACAGACATGTGGTATAGGAATTAAAGTTTCTCCACAAGAGCCTTTTTTACTCTCATGAACCAATTCTTTCAATAAGTTTGGCAAAGTCTCAAGTACATGAGTAACACTGGCTTTACTATAGACTATTTTTTGGACAGTTTTAAACATATACTTATTATCTATTCAGTGTGTATATGTGGGTTCTTTGTATAATATGTGAGTGGTATGAAACTAAATGGATTGGCAACTCTACAGCATAGTTCTCATGGGGCTATAATTCAAATGTCAGGTATGGAATCATTTCCTTCTCTTCTGATTTAAGAGGAATACCTTGGAAACACAGACCAGTTACCTCATATTGAGGCCTATAATTTTATGAGAAATTAATGATCACCAATATACTTTAAGCTGTGCTTATTTATACTATTCTTTTAGATCTTTCAGGACAAATTAAATTTCAGAGACAAATATATATCAAGTTGAAAATAAAAATTACCGTTCACATTTTCTAGCACTTTGACAATGCTCCTCAAAATTATGGTCTTCCCAACTGTAGCCTAAAATATAGTAACAGAAAGGAGATAATATATTAATGAATATTGTACAAAGTTGAATATCTTAAGTGAACTATGCCTTAGTCATTTGGCTCATTCTTACTCTTTCTCACAAATATACAAAAGTATCAATAAATAATACACAGTTGTCTCCTTATTTAAAAATGAGAAGGAAAGTTCACAGTCATACCAATAGCAGTGAGGTTCCTGTATGTCTCCAGCATCACATCTTTGTAGAGATTCTTCTGAGAAGGATTCAGTAAAACCCATTCATCCTGAGTGAAGTCAATGTGCACATCTTCATAGGTCACTGAATTCTAGAATAATCCAACCAACAGTAAAAGAATGTTTGATCCTGACATTGGATATTTCTTTTAAAATGATATATTTTTATAATGCTCCTGCTTCCCACACTTCTTGCATGACATAGGATAGGATAGGATATGCCACACTTCTTGTGACATAATGTAATCACAAGTCACTTTAGAAGGGAACTGAAGAGTAGGTTCATATGTGCCATTCCTTGGCCCTCTAATAAGATACAGACTTGAGAAAGAAATGCCAATAAACAGACATACAGAGACAGACAAGCAAGCAGATCAACACTACTGAGAGAACATTATAGAAATGGTAAGAAGAATGAATACCTAGAAAACAGACGGGAAAATTGTGTATATTGACTCTTGCTTTTAATCCCAGCAATCAATGTAAAAGCAGATGAATTAAATTGAGTTGGATGTCAGTCAAAACCTACGCAATGAGTTACAGGTAAGCCAAAGTTACAAATTAATGAAACCCAGTATCCATCCAAAAATCATTCAAATTATATATATATATATATATATATATATACACACACACACACACACACACACACACACACACACACATAAACCAGAGGCTTCACTGAAGTTCTTACAAAAAGTTTTGTATTCACTTTAGCTCTACATTCATCTTCCAGAACCTGCAGTGGCCCAGTTTAAACTGTTTCATAATAAGATCTTAATAAAAGGGAGTGCATGTTTAACAGTTACAAATGGAACGAAGAAAACATCAGACCTGCAAATGATGATCAAAAATAACACAGATTAAGGGAGATGGGTCAGCAATTAAGCAGTCTTGCTGTCCTTGCAGATAAGTGAACACAATTGCCAGTACTAAAAGGGGGCTTGTAATTATCCATTATTTCAAGTTCATAGGTGCTGAGGCCTCTTGTGACTACCGTGAGGAACAGGCTCACATGTGGTTCATACCCTAGTATATAGATACAACCTCATATTCATTGAAAGTATTAAAAAAAATTAGAAACAGGTCGAAAGTCATACACCTGCAGTGCAATGATTCAGAAGGTAAAGGTATTAATGTCCTGAATACTACTCTCCAGGGAAAGAGAATGATATCCTCCACCAAACTTTAAATTTCATGATGTACGTCAAGATCAGAATAGATACTTATCCTTGAAATGTACAAAAACTTACATTCCAGGCTCATCAGGCTATAAAACAATACACACACACACACACACACACACACACACACACACAACAAGTATGTTGCTTCAAAATTAATCCCTCTGTGCAAAAGCCAGGATCTTTTGTATTTCTGAGTTGAGGAGAGCATGGTTTAAGGAGCTACATTCAGGACCCAGAGCTACAAAGAAAAACATTGTCTTTCTAAAACAAAAGTAAAAACAGAAAATTAGAATAGAAATCAGGATAGCAAAAGGCTTAAGAGTGAACAGAAATTGCTTCAACTGCATCTATTGTCATTTAGTGATAACATCTATAATGGCGGTGAAATCATAACAGCAGGACCCACATAACCAGAAATGGGTTAAGACTATGAACATGTAAATCCAATCCCCAATATAGAAATTTCATCCAAAAGATTTCTCCTACTAAATGTTCCACAAATACAACAAAGAAGAACACCCCAGAGAGACAAGTGTTGAACAACTTCTAATCTGGGACCTTTTCCTTTGATCAACTACATTCTGACCCTGATTCATAAATATTCATAGTCATCCCATGATAAAATAAAAAAAAAGTATTTAGTCTAACTTCAAGGATGTCATAGGCTGGAACAGTTCCTGAAGTGTTTCAATGTGAAGTATCTTACAACAATCATATTGATTGATTTGGCCATAACCCAGCCCAAAAAAGCCACACCTAATGTCAGTCTCTAGGAGATTATTGGGTCTAACTACATTCAAACTACCAGAGTGGTTTATCTGAGTCTTACAGTAGATAGATTCCAAATTATCTGAGAGACTGCCATAGTGGCTATACAGGTTCGCATTCCCAGCAGCAATGGAGGAATGTTCCCCTTACTAAACATTCTTGCCAGCATGAGTTTTCCATTATGTTATTGAACCTAGCTATTCTGACAGGTATAAAGTGAATTATAAAAGCTTTTATGATGTACAGTTTATTGATGACTAAGTATATTGAACATTTAGTTAAGAGTTTCTAAGACAGTGTAGATGCATCTATTTAGAACTCCTTGTTGAAATCTGTACCACAATTTTATTTAATTAATTTATTTCTTGATGTGTTGATTCTTGCTTCTGAGCAAGTAAACACAAACTACATAGACAAACAAGATGTGTACTCATTGGAAGTGGATATTATCTGTTGAGTAAAAACTAATCATAGTACAATAAAGACCCAGAAAGGGTAAGTAACAAAGATGGCTATAGCAGGGGTGCATGAATCCAAACAGGAAGATTAAATAGACTAGATTTTGTGGGAGTACTCAGAGCAAGAACAGGAAGGATAATGGGAGTAAATGAAGGAATAGAAGGGAAAACACAGCAAGAAATTCCTAGACTAGAAAAGCTTTCAAGGCTTGATGTTGAAGCAGTGCAGTAACAACGATCTGCAATCTTTGAGAGTGATTATAGTGAGAACTCCCTACAACTCAGAAATGTGGAGCCTGTACTGGCCATCTTCTGTAATTGCATATGGCTCCCAATGGTGGGACTAGGAAACCAAGCCTTCCACAAAATATCTGACACACACTTGTTGTGTTTGGATGATATATCAGGAAAATGGTGGCTCAAGATTTGTGTGGTGGCTAACCAATGACTGGCCCAACTTGAGGCCCAAGGTGGCTAGGAAGAGCACCTAGATGGGCAGGACCCAGAAGATGGATGGCTCAGAGAACTAGGCTAGAACCAAATACAAGTAACTATAAAGAAAAAGTCAATGTAATGATACCTAATTCCATGACCAATACCTCTCTCCAGGTCTTCAATCCTGTTCAGCTTTGTTGAGAGCAGAACATTTCTTTTTCTTTGGCTGGTTCCATTCCCCAATAATAGTTCTCCTTGGCAGGTAACCTATGACCCTGGGATCTCTAACATCTTGGATAATTAAAGAATTCCAAACTTCCAATATTAAGTAAGATCCAGTCAAGATCTCTGTACTCTTCTGGAGGATTTGGGTAAATACACTGACTCTGCCCTCTGCAGTACACACTTCTGGTCTTCTAGATGCTGACAGGCTCAGTTCCACTGTCACTACTGTTTTGGTGCTCATTTGACAGTGCTGGACTCTCCAAAACACTGGGGTCTTCTGTTGCAATTTGTTTTCACTTTTACCCATAGTTTCTCATAGAATCTCTTCAGGGTGCTGTGCTTCTTAGCATGCTCTTAGGAAACATTTCCCAGACATTTCCACATCAGTGATGCTGGTCACTTAATTATCAATGATTTCTTAGTTCAAGCCAACCAGAATCAAGTACCCAACAAAGCAAAATTTTGCTTAAATCCTTCTAATAACATTCTCATTACAGCTGATACTCCAGCCCCAGCTAACCAGAATCAGAGGATCTAAACATATTTCTCTATCCTTAAGACTTAAGCCAGAACCACATGACCAAAAGTTTAAGGATCTGCTGTTCACTGTATCTAGAACATGGCCCCTGGTTTAATTACATATTTTTCAGCTTTCTTTTTTCACTGTCTAAGCTTGGCTGTCCTGAAAATTGCTAGGAAGACCAGGATGGCCTTGATTTCACAGAGGTAAGCTTTTCTCCCTTTTCTGTGTTGTGGGATTGAAGGTTCTTGCAAACACTACCTTATCACCACTTCCTTTATTACCTTTCTTAATCATCTTATGTCCTTGAACAGCAATTTTAGCAACATTCCACTTTTAAGGGCCCCCTTTTTCCCCCGGGTATTTTTTCTTGTTCAACTGTTCCTTATGTTACATATCTTCAGTAGAGCTAACAGTAGTATTCACATGACAGAGTCTATCCTAGACTCTTTTGAGATTTCTTCAGCCAATGGAATGAACAGAAACATTTTACTTTAGCCTTAAGCAGATACTTTGAACAAAGGCAAAATGCAGTCATTTTCTACAACAAAATATCACAAGAATAATATCTAGGCAACATACTAAAATCTTAACTGAAACATCTTGAGCTGGCTCCTGATATTTCATACCATTATCAAGATCATTGTCACCCTTGCTCCTCTTAGTATGGTCTAGTATGCGTATCTTAATGCATTTAAAGATTTTTACAAGCCAAAGTCCCAAAGTCCATATTATTCCCAACAAAAGTAAGGGTAGGCCTAGCACACCAATATCCCAGTCCCTGAGACCAACTTCTGTTTTAGTTAGGATTTTATTGACCTAAAGAGACACCTAGACCATTCAAACTCCTATAATGAAAACATTTTCTTGAATTTACAATTTCAGAGATTCAGTCAACTATTATCATGACTGGGAGCATGTAAGCAGGCAGCCAGATGTAATGCTGGAGCCTAGAATACTTTGATCTTGACTCAGGCAACAGGAAGTTATCTGACACACTTCCTCTGACAAAGCCATGCTTCTATCAATATAGCCATGCTCTCCACTACTTCCATGATAATGGGAGCCAACTATCTCAGTGGTATAGCTGAGTCTTGAGATAGAAAGCTTAACAATTATCTGAGGAATTGCAATATTGATTTCCATAGTGGCTATACAGGTTTGCATTCCCAGAAGCAATAGGGGAGTATTCCCTTTGCTCCACATCAATGCCAGGAGGAGTTGTTACTCATGTTGTTGATCCTAGCTATTTTGACAGGTATAAGATGAATTCTTCAGGTAGATTTGATTTTCTTTTCTTTAAAGGCAAACGATGATGGTTATTTATTTAAGTCTTTTTAAGTCAGTTTAAATTCAACTATTTAGAATTCACCCAAACACTAGCTGAAGTACTGGGCAGGATGCAGAAATTTGGATGGGGATTTTATAGAAGACAGAGGTGTTAAGGATGCCAAAAAATAAAAAATAAAAAAATAAAAAATAATAATAATTAAAAAAAAAGAAAACGCTTTACTGAGTCAGGTAAGCCAGACCCAAAAAGAGGAATATGGTATGTATTCACTCATAAATGGATTCTAGCCATAATTAAAGGTGTTTGAGCCTATTATTCATGATCCTAGAGAAGCTGGATAGGAGGGTAAACCTGAAGAAAATTCAGGTAGTTTTCCTCCTGGAGATTGGAAATAGACAGGAGTCCCAGGTAACCTCGGGTGCTTGTGCGGATGGGAGGGTTGCTGGAAGGGGAGAGGGTTAGAGAGAAGGGAGCAGGGGAGGAATGGGGAATGCTTGGGGGACTGGGAGCGGGGGAGGGAGGAAGGATAGATATGGGATCAGGGAAGAATATTTCTCAACTAAGGGAGTCAGTTTAGTCCAGCCCCACTTGCTAATGAGTATTGCCACACTCAGTGGAGGAGCCTTCCTACATCAGTAATCAATCAACACAATTTCTCATAGGAATAGCAACTAGTGATTCTGAGTGGGCAAGTCCTCATATGACATTCCTTTTGATGACTCTAGGCTACATCATGTAGACAAGTAACGCTAATTAATAAAAACATACAATAACATATAAGCAGGTTTGATAAACACAAAACCAGTATATTAACGCAATCAGTCATATAAGCAAAAGACACAAACATGAACATAGCAAAAACTGGAAAACAAAAATATGCATAGAAATGATGAAAGATAAGCCTCAATGATCAAAAAGAGAAAATTAAAACTGTCTTTCCATAGACAGCACCCAATCAACAAAATTTTAAGAATGTCATAATAATATAGCAAATTTTCTGAAAATGAAAATTGGCACATGCTATAGAAGATGGACAGTAAAAAGAACTCCTCCATTCCCTGTGGAAGTGCAAACTTTTACAGCCACTTTGCAGATCTGTATAACAATTGCTCAGAAATTTGAGAAACAATCTACCTCAAGACCCAGTGATTCCACTTTTTGGCATATAGTAAAGAATGGAATCATACCACAAGACCCAAATACCACAATGGAATTTGCTCAACTATGTTCATAACAGCATTGTTTTTAAAGACAGAGCCTGAAAACAACCTTGATTCCCCTCAACTGAAGAATGGATAAAATAATGTCATACAACTACACAATGGAGCACTACTCAGTCTTAAATAAAAAAGATATTTGAAATTTGCGAGCAAATGAATGGACTAGAAAAAACATCCTGAGTGAGGTACCTCAGACCCAGAAAGAAGAACATGGTATGTTCTCACTCACAAGTGGATATAAGATATAAATCAGTGCATAAGACATCTACAGTCCACAATCCCAGGGAAGCTAGTAACAGGAGAACACTAACAGAAACATACATAGATCCCCCTGGAGATAGGAAATACAGAGGATCTCCTTAGTAAATTGGGACAACAGTTCTGTTAGTAGGGCAATGTCATTTAACACAGATGTTCTATTTTTGTTTTACTAATGTAACTCTAGCAATCTGGTTTCATGATAAAGTCTGACCTTCATCCAGGTTCTTCATTGCCCTTGCCTGTGTATCTCAAGAAATGGCCAGTCATGCCATTTTTCAGTCATCAAAAATTGATTACAAACCTCCATATTACAATTTTAACTGCTGCCAAATGAGGAAATCTGTCAAGTTGCTTCCTTCCTTTCCTTTCTGCACTCTGCCTGCACCAGTTTCAGAATTAGAAATGGACTCAATTCTTTTACACATCTCTCTTCATTTGTGACTCCCCTGGAAAAGACAGAGGAATTGAAGGAAACTCATTAACTGGTCTATTTTCCCTTCTGAATGACCAAACCTGGAAAGAGTTTCATAGTGTTTTCCCAGCACTGGTCAGCAGAGGCAGAATTAGCTGTGTTCAAAGCAATTTTCAACTACATCATGTGAGGAAAGACCTGAGTTAGAAAATGCATTGCTCTAAAGAGAAATAAGTAAGTGAACAGCACTTGGGGTGGGGAGGAGAAGGAACGAAATTCTTTTTTTTTTTTTTTTATGGAACGCTTCACGAATTTGCGTGTCATCCTTGCACAGGGGCCATGCTAATCTTCTCTGTATCGTTCCAATTTTAGTATATGTGCTGCCGAAGCGAGCACAGGAACGAAATTCTTGATGAACAGGTAACAATGGGGAACAGAAACAAATAAAGCTTAGAGCAGTAATACATTTACTAAAATCAAATTTGAAAAAGAATACAAATAAGGGGCTTTAAAAAAAGATAAAAACATTTAAAAAAAAAAACAATAAGATAAACCTCAGGTTTGTTGACTTAGAAAAAAAGAAAGCCATTCCCTTTTAATAGGACTGATTGATATTACTCATATGTACATTTTGGCTCCTGAGATCTGTACCCTGACATACAGAGTTACCATCAATTGCCTGTTTCTAACCCATAGAGCTGAATTAACTGGGTCAAGCAGAATTGAACATATATGCACAGGACAATTCCCTAACTGGAATTTCAATATGCACTGACTCAAGCTAACCTTTTGAAATTATAAATTCATAAATCACATCTGTCTTCATTCAATGACATGAATTAATATATTTTGAGATGATAAAAATTATCACTAAAACTGCCTGTCTCAGTTATGATTTTTATTGATGCAAAGAGACAACTTCACCACCATAACCTTATAAAGAAAATATTTAATCAGGATGGCTCATTCCGAGCTCTAGAAGTTCAGTGCATTAACATCATGGTGGGGAGCATGATAATGTTTAGCTGGGTTCCTCTTGATATGCAGGCCACAGGAAGTCATCTGACATGCTCGGGAGTATCCATAACAGGTGAAACCTTCAAGCCCATCCCAGGTGCCATGCTTCTTTCAACAAGATGACCCATTCCAACAAAGCCATACTATGTAAAGGTACCACACCCTATGTGATTATAGAAGCCAACAACATTGAAACTGCCTCATTGCCACAATCAGTTCCTCGATCATACTGGTGACTCCAGTTGCTGATTTCTTCCCATTTTCCCCTGCAGTGCACTCAACAAACTGTTCTTTCTACTCTGGTCTGATGGCAGAAACCATGTTCAACATTCAAATCCTTCTCCTGCGAGTGTAATGAAGAGTCGACTACATGACTCAAGTGGATAATTTTAAAAGTCTGAGGCCACCCAGTCATTTAATTTAATTATATTGAAGGTGTATCAAGGGCACAGCAAGGTCATTGACCTTGAAAGCAACAGCCTGTGAAATGTTCTCTGTCAACATTAGAAATCTTGTCTCAGACACATTTTTCTAAAAGTATGGAAATGCAGCTGTTCTAGATAAGTCTTTCCAGTGAGAATCAGTCCACACTGATTAATACAGAAATCTCTCTGTAATAATGGCATCCATTCATCTCTGGCAAATGCTCAAAGAGGAGAGAGCCTGAACAAATTTTGCAATCCACATATGCTGAAATCCTTACGTTTCTATAAGTTTCAAACTCTAGCATACATTTTGAAGAATTAAATAGTGACAGGAAACTGCAAGTTTATCCAGTAAGGCAAATGGGAGACTTACACAGTAAAGATATTATCATAATTATTTCATAAGCACATTAGTGACCTGAAACAGGAGGTCATACTATACTGACAAATTCTGAGGTGGAACTGCCAGAAGATGAGAAAGATAGGAAAAGGAGAACAAACAAAGGGTAAAAACTGGGGCAGAGGATTCTTGCATATTGTATGTCTTATTCCAATTAATCTTCCTAAGAGGAATGACTTCCTGTCCACTATTTGCAGGAGGATATCAAAAGAAATAGGAGACTTCTATGAAATCAGCAGAAATTGTCATACAATGGGACAAACTCAAGAGAGGGATGCTCAAACTATGCAGAAAAAGGGGCACACAGGATATCTCAAGAATATTATGGACTATACCCACAGTGGCCTTGGGAATGATACTTGTAGTTCCAAGGGATGGGAAGAGTTGGATTCTCAGGATCTGAAGAACCTCTCCACAAATTCACTGGCTCCAGATCATCACCATCTCTCCCAAGCTTAAACCTGGTTTTAATGAAGGAGCTCTATTCTATTCTCCATAACACTGGGCCTTGGGAAAACTCCTAAGGAAATACACTAGGTTTGGCAAGAATTCCTGGCTCTGGCAAGAATGTCCCTAGGTTTAAGAAGAAGCTGTGCTCCTTCTTCATGAGTGAGGACCAAAATGAAAAGTCTTGCTTGATAATTCCCTTTTCAAGTAGCTGTCACCTAGTCTCATATTGTGCATTTGGCAGAATTATAATTTTCTATAGAAGAAAACTGAGACTTCATGTCACACCATGCCCTAATGTGCACTGTGACCCTATAATGTCCCTTTGAGCTGCTTATAAGAGGCCTGTTCTTTGATGTGGGGATTGGCCTAGTGGCTCTTTGTAAATCAGGGATGTCTAATTTTTCATGGTTTAGAGCCAAATGTTTTCACGATTCTGGTGAACCAATGTGTATCCTAGCATCCTAATCTCCAACAGGCCTAGTCAGCATATTACTTATCTTTGGGTTATTTTAGAGGCAGCCCTCCCTCTGCTAAATATTTTCTAAGCATTGTTGAATCTTTTCTATCAACAATTTTACTCTTCTACTTCACACCTTAGTGGTAGAGCTGAATCGAAGGCTGGACTGCCATTTACAAGTTCCACAAATTAACTCCAAATGGATTTTACACCAACATGTTATATGCAAAGCATAGAATTTTGGAAAGATTCTAGATAAACTAGGCCTCTCAAGTTTGGCAACTTTCCTTCCATATGCATCAAAATCACGCACGTTGTTGTTGACTACAGGGATGTTTCTACACAAAGCTCCATGCTCGAAATACTTTTCACAGATGCAGCCCACAAAGGAAGTTAATCAGAGGCCAGCTCCTGGGTTTGAGAAGTTGGAAGGACCACATGGGCCCTCAGAGAACACTGATTGTGGCCTCAGGTTCCCACCCAGCAACCCCAGAGAATGCCTGCCCCACCATCTCCCATGGTTCCCCATTCTCTCCTCTCCATATTGGGACAGAAGCCCCTTGCTCACCAAGTCGTGGCTTCCAGGCTCACACATGTTCTCCTCACAGTTCCCTGCAGTAGCACACACAGCACAGCATACAGTCTTCAAGGGCCTGTTCTGCTTGAAAATGTAGCTGTACCATGGAGCCAGGAAGTGTCTTGCCTGATTTTGACTGACAGGTCAGCTTGGAGGATTGATTGGCTATTGAGACTTGAGTGACAAGAACACCTCTCTCAGATTTATAGTGTACTTAAAGAGACAGCACAAGTTTTGACAGACTTGGCTTCCAACTCAGACCCAGACCTTTTACAGATTTGCAAAGATAAGAATTTAAATATCACATACCCCTGTCTCAAATAGCTGACCCTGCTATCTTCCTGCAATCCACAACCACAATCACTTCAACCTCATCGACAGAAAGTCTGCCCAGAACATAAAAATAAAAATACAGAATTTAGGAGGCAAAAGATGAGGTTTGTGAGTTGGTTTGGGCTGATGTCAGGAGAACTGAAGGTGTTTTTTATCAGGTTGTCACAGGCACTTTAGACATCCAAGAGAGCAACCCAGGAACCAGATCAGAAACAAGACGATATATTTTTCTTCAGCCAGAAGACCTGATGATAGCTTCTAGTGCATTGGGACTTTTATTCCTGATTATAAGATCAAACTGTTGAGAAATGCATAATAATAAAAAGAATAGTCTGCATAGGAAGATGAATGCTTAGAGAGAATGAGGCTAGAGCACTATGAACACTATGGTGAGCCAGCACACATTCTTCAGTGGATAGGTGAAAAAAAAAATCCTTGCATTATTCCAGGTTCTCTACCTGAATAGGACAAGAAGAATAAAACTTTCCGTTTTTGAAGATAGTGGATTCATGAGAACGCCTGAAACTACCCAGAGCTTTTTCCATTACCAAAAAGACTTTTTCATTTCTTTCTGTCCCACTTGTTTAGTTTTGTTGTTGTTGTTGTTGTTGTTGTTGTTGTTGTTGTTTTGGTAGACCTTAACCAGTCATCCGTAAAAAATATCGAACAGAATCAGTGGTTTAAGAAATCAGTCTCTACTTTTTAATTTTCGCTTACTCAATTTTCAGGTAATGGCGGAAGTAAGAGTCATTTGGGACAAAAATATAATCCAATAACTTCTATCTTAATTTTTCATTGAGTCTACTTCTGACTGAAGTCCTATGAAGTCCACCCTCACTATCTGCATTACACTCAACACTCCATCTTTTCAGTCCCATATGAATGATTGGTGAAGCTCTGTGTATTCGTGTAGGGAGCCCACCTGGAGGCACAGGTGGCCCTGCAGTTTGGAGGTATACAAGTCCATACCTGGCTTAGCCACGTGGGGCTGAGAACCCTTGCCTGCACTTGCGCAGACCAGCAGAATGGCATTAACCAATCAGGACAGCATTCAAGCCTCTCCACCGTTTAAAAGCAGCTGCCTCTGGGCTCCATTTCCTCTCTCTAAGCTTTCTCTTGTCCCTGCACTCTCTCTTCCCTTCCCCCAATTTTCCTCAATCAAGGGCTCCGAATAAAGACGTGTACAGAGAAGGAATTCTTTTTTTTCGTGGCGTTCATTCCTGCTGGTCAGGAAGCGCGCCGCAACTGGTGCTGAAAGCCCGGGAAGAAGGAGCTGAAATCAGACACCAGACACAGAGAGCCTAGAATTTCAGAACTCTGCCACGTGGAGCGGTGAGTGATGTCAGTTAAATCCTCCAGAAAGGGGAGGAAAAAGAATGGAAAAAATATAGGCCTAAAAAGAAAAGAAAATAGAAAGAATCAAAGTTAAGGTATCTAAAAGAAGGTACAGAAAGTAACGGGGAAGAAAAAAATCCCTCAAGTTCAGTGCAGGTGGAGCTGAGAAAAAGCGAGGTTTACGGTTGGGAGATCCGCGGCTTCCTCCGTCCCAACTCGCTGTTAGAGACTCGGGGCAAGAGTCTCGTAGGGAGGCGGGCTTGATCATATTTGAAGACTGCCTTCCCTGTTCTTAAAGAGCCACAGAGTTTTTGAGGTGATTTTCGCCTAATTTTGATAAGAGAGCTCAGTCTCTGGCTCTCACGTACAGAAAACTTTAATTTTGTTTGAGAAAGACAGGCTGCTGGATCGAGCGGGGAATGCTGGCGGCTGCCAGCCCGCCTTTGAGCGGTGATGCCTGATTAGGGACACGGAAGTGGGCCAGGCGCGGTGGCGCACGCCTGTTGTCCCAGCTACTCAGGAGGGAGACGCAAAACAGCACTGGAGAATGCTAACTCGTCCAGGAGGCATGGCTATGCTAACCAGTTGCTGGCGGGGAGTTTGCTGGAGTCCACAAAGGCGTACGAAAAGCCAGGTCGCTGTGGCGGGCTAAAGTCCATATGACATCAAAGGCTATGTGTCCCGGCCTTCTGGCGGGGCTGTGGTTTTCGGAGGACTTTTTCAGCACCCGAGTGGACTTGCCCTGACTGAGGCGGAAGCTGCATGGTGAGCAGCAGCGCCGCCGCTAAAGACCTAAAGACGGAGAGGGGCCAAACTCTGAACCGCATTTCCATAGCAACATAGGCGGGCACATTAAGCGTGCACAGTTCGCAGGTACAGGATAAACCGGTGGTGCGTGCGCCCGCGCACGGCCCGGGGCGGGGCCATGCCTTTGTTTGGGCCATGCAGAGCGCGCCACAATGGGCCGTGCCTCAGGCAGAGCTGTCGCAGCCGCCGCCATCCGCTGCTGCTGCTGCCGCCGCTCACAGCCACGGCCGCCAAAAAATTCAGTCAGATAAAAACATTTATCCCCCAAAAATTCACATCGTCCCTTCGTCAGCAGGAAGCAGTCAGATCGATTGTCGACGCCCATTTTCCCTCATAAACTTCAGGCAGGACTGTTCGTAATTATCATAATAAAGGCGCGTCAACCTGGTTACCGGTATCCTAGGTAACAAAGGCGGACCTATTACCTGAGGCAACGGGTGGGACAAGCAATGCTACCTAGAGGGTTTTTTTTTTCATCTGAATAGGGGAGCTGGAGAGATGGCTCAGAGGTTAAGAGGATTCCCTGCTCTTCCAAAGGTCCTGAGTTCAATTCTCAGTGACCACATGGTAGCTTACAACCATTTGGTTTTAGACAAAAGAGGGGGACTACAACCTCCCCCAGAGAAAGGATTTCTCTTGCACTCTTTACACTTAATTTTTAATTCAAAATTTTGCTGGAAAAACAACAGCAGACAGACATGCTCTGTTTGAAAGCAATTCCATCCAATTCTAAGGCCTGCTTTAATGGCACAGGCAAACAAGATTTGCTTTTTGAAACAGAGACCTGCAGGTCTCTAAGTTCAAAACCAGTCTACTTCCAGTACTGATTGTGCTGAATTTTTACACTGAGAGTTTTTAGTACTCTTAAATGTTAATTTGGGAGGAGAGTTTTGTTTATGTTTTTCTAGAAATGCTGACATACATCTGGATGCCAGCAAGACTGACAAGAGAAATAAAGAAGAAAGATGATCCAGTGGATGCTGAGTGTCCTGCTGTGGAAGATTCATGCGGAGACAGCAGAGATGACCCTCTGGGCAGTGTCAAGAGCAGCTGTTTCACACCATCAACTTGAACAGCACCCTGTGCAACCTCTTATCTCTTAACAATTTTCTGACTGACTCTATTTTGCCTTTTCCTTCCTTAGGAATGGGTGGGAGCAGAGATATTCTTGGCATGCTGTGTCTAAGTGGAAGTGCTGTATGTCTTTGATTGGTGTGCTACCTGCTAGCCCAAGTGAGGAGGGACAAGGTCTTTGTGGCACAGGCCTTGGCAGCCTTGGTATGTGTATCCTCACCCCAGGTTTGGCTCTCAGCCTTAAAGAGCTCATAGGCAACTAGCCATGCATAGCCTTTGCACCCTCTAGGGACCAGATAGTCCCACAAAGCACGGAGGAAGGTATGCATTGGCGGAGGGTGTGCCTTGTTTTTCTTTTCTTTAATCGGTCCACACATCATGAGGTGGGGACCAGAGTGGAAAATAGTTTTGCCTTATTGCTCTTATTAACAATAGAAGAGGGAGATGTAGGGAGCCACCTGGAGGCACAGGTGGCCCTGCAGTTTGGAGGTATACAAGTCCATACCTGGCTTAGCCGCGTGGGGCTGAGAACCCTTGCCTGCACTTGCGCAGACCAGCAGAATGGCATTAACCAATCAGGACAGCATTCAAGCCTCTCCACCGTTTAAAAGCAGCTGCCTCTGGGCTCTACTTCCTCTCTCTAAGCTTTCTCTTGTCCCTGCACTCTCTCTTCCCTTCCCCCAATTTTCCTCAATCAAGGGCTCCGAATAAAGACGTGTACAGAGAAGGAATTCTTTTTTTTTCGTGGCGTTCATTCCTGCTGGTCAGGAAGCGCGCCGCATATTCATTTCTAGGGATTTTGCCATCTCAATCTTAATATCTACAACAATCCTTCAAAAGGCATCAATTCCAAGTCCTTTGCAATAACAACACTCTGTTGTACTGCATTTTCTTATAACTTCCTTGTTATTTGCTGGGACTTAATTTGAATCAAAAGCATCTCCATGTTTACTTGACTGAGATTACCAGATCAAAAATACATCATCATAGGATCTTAGGATAGAAATTCAAGATAGCAACCGAAGGAAAAATATATATATAGGGAAAGTTTTCTTAGTTTTCTCTCATGTGGTCACTGTCTCAAGCTCAGGTAGCCCTCTTATCAAGTCAAGCTCCATTTGCTTATGAGTATTGCCACACTCAGGGAAGAGTCTTCCTACATCAATCATCAATCAACACTATTTCTCACAGACATCTTAACTTGTGACTCTGAGTGTTCATGCCCTCA